TGCACAGTTCCGAATATTTCAACTAATGAAATCTCAAAGCCATGTCATATCGAGATGACTTTCCTACCTACTTTTTTCACGTACTTCACCATGCTTCTTTCAGTCTTCGGATTAACGCGACTTTTAAGGACCTCCGGGAATTTTCTACTCTTCTACATTATTTTGCACCAATGAAATCTCGAGGCGATGACATTTCGAGATAAATGGGTTTTCGCATATTTCACCACATTTTTGTCGACGTCTCCTTTTTGAGAATCTCGCGTTTCGTCCACCTCGCAAACACCGAGCTCGTTAACGGCGACCGACATCAACGACACATTAGCAAACACACCTGTATCGTCCCGCCCGGGCGCCCGCACGATTTCACTACGTCGCTGAATGAAATCGCGTGTGTATGATCCGCGGAAAGACACAAATACTTTGTCAATGGATTAAACTCCGAGTAAAAATAATGTGTCACGCGTTAATATACAGATCTGATTCTCGGTGGTTGTCGAGAGATTTTAACGTTGAGTGAACAGGTAACGAGCAGCAGATTTCAGATAACTATTTATTAATCACCAAACTAAATGCATATAAATCATACGGAAATGTAGCCGCTGATATTATCTGACAGCTATGAAAGCACTGCCCTTGCGAGCACACCGCGTACGGATACCGCGTACCGTGTGTGTTTACTTTTATACTGAATAAACTGCTGACACATTATTCCCATTAATACCGTAACGTTCAACGCCGAAAGTCGATTATGACGTTAATGCTGTAAAGTTAAACATCAAATCAATATTGAAAACATTGAGAAATTATTCGTAACTCTCTTGACGTGTCTCTTGATAATCCAGATTCGCATTCTGACATTAAATAATACCTGCCTGAATAATCATTAGAATCACGCTTGACGTAAACTATTTAGGTAAAGTTTTAAAATCCACTGGCAAGGAACATTTGCGTCCTTCCCCGGATCATCCCGTACGACGACGCGTCCCGACTTGTAAACGTTATCGCGTGTAACTACGTTACGAACGATGACAGGCAACCGACCACCACGCGTACGCGACTCATCGTCGCTCGTTGGAACGCGTCGTCCGGTGCATATTATCGGGATGAGGGTCTGGATCTTACGGTAATAAGTGCGTCACGCGTAAATCGGAACTGGTTCCCATAGAGACTAGAGACGCGGTGCTCTTCGTTCGTCATTCACGTGGACGCGTGCGCGCGAGTATATAAATACGCGTACGGACACGCGCGAGCGTGACGAGTGTGCGACGCGCGGTCCGAGAGAAGAGGGATTTGTAAGATTGGTGGTGCGCAAGAGGGCCGGAGGAGAGAGAGAGGGAAAAAGAGGCAGAGGCAGAGAGAGAGAGTGAGAGGGCTGCAGAAAGGAGAGCGAGGTAGAAAGGAGAGGCAGGAGTGCTCTGGAGCAGCACTTAAGGATAATAAACTACCGTGATAGCGCGACAGGAAGGGGCGGCGCGACATCTTTCGCACGTCTTATAAGTTAGCGGAACAAAATGAGCAGAATCGATTCTAATTAATATATTTATTTGTTGCTCATTTGTTGCTAAAAAGTTGCCAAAGAAAAAAATTTGTTGCTCTGTAAGTTTTCTTAAAAAACGATGTTCCGCTAGAAGAAGATTAAGTTAGCGTGACAATATACATATAATAACAAAATTACACATAACAATAACGTAAGAATTTGTTGCTAATTTGTTGCTCGCAAAATAAGTATAAATAACAGCGAAAAACTTCAGCGTGCGGACAGTTATAAGAGTAAAGTATCAGAAAAAAATTTGTTGCTTGTTTAAAGGTACTGGCGTATTGTCAGAATTTGTTGCTCTCGAAATATCCGAGTTCCGAATTTGTTGCTTGCAAAATAAGTATAAACAATCGCGGAAAACCTCAGCGTGCAGCTAGTTACAAAAGTAAAGTATTAGAAAAAAATTTGTTGCTCGTTTAAATTTGGTACTGGCGTATTGTCTGCATTTGTTGCTCTCGAAATATCCGAGTTCCGAATTTATTGCTTGCAAAATAAGTACAAACAATAGCGAAAAATCTCAGCGTGCGGACAGTTATAAGAGTAAAGCAGTAAAGTATCAGAAAAAAATTTGTTGCTTGTTTAGGTACTGGCGTATTGTCTGAATTTGTTGCTCTCGAAATATCCGAGTTCTGAATTTGTTGCTTGCAAAATAAGTACAAACAATAGCGAAAAATCTCAGCGTGCGGACAGTTATAAGAGTAAAGCAGTAAAATATCAGAAAAAAATTTGTTGCTTGTTTAGGTACTGGCGTATTGTCTGAATTTGTTGCTCTCGAAATATCCAAGTTCCGAATTTGTTGCTTGCAAAATAAGTACAAACAATAGCAACAAATTCAGACAATACGCCAGTACCAAATTTAAACGAGCAATAAATTTTTTTCTAATACTTTACTCTTGTAACTAGCTGCACGCTGAGGTTTTCCGCTATTGTCATACTTATTTTGCAAGCAACAAATTTGGAACTTGGATATTTCAAGAGCAACAAATGCAGACAATACGCCAGTACCAAATTTAAACGAGCAACAAATTTTACAAAATTTACTCTTGTAACTAGCTGCACGCTGAGGTTTTTCGCTATTGTTCATATTTATTTTGCAAGCAACAAATTTGGAACTCGGATATTTTAAGAGCAACAAATTCAGACAATACGCCAGTACCAAATTTAAACGAGCAACAAATTTCTTTCTAATACTTTACTCTTGTAACTAGCTGCACGCTGAGGTTTTCCGCTATTGTTCATATTTATTTTGCAAGCAACAAATTTGGAACTCGGATATTTTAAGAGCAACAAATTCAGACAATACGCCAGTACCAAATTTAAACGAGCAACAAATTTCTTTCTAATACTTTACTCTTGTAACTAGCTGCACGCTGAGGTTTTCCGCTATTGTTCATATTTATTTTGCAAGCAACAAATTTGGAACTCGGAGATTTCAAGAGCAACAAATTCTGACAATACGCCAGTACCAAATTTAAACAAGCAACAAATTTTTTTTTAATACTTTACTCTTGTAACTAGTTGGACGCTGAGGTTTTCCGCTATTGTTTATATTTATTTTGCAAGCGACAAATTCGGAACTCGGATATTTCGAGAGCAACAAATTCGGACAATACGCCAGCACCAAATTTAAACAAGCAACAAATTTTTTTCTGATACTTTACTCTTATAACTGTCCGCACGCTGAAGTTTTTCGCTGTTATTTACACTTATTTTGCGAGCAACAAATTAGCAACAAATTCTTACGTTATTGTTATGTGTAATTCCGTTATTATATATATATTGTCACGCTAACTTAATTTTCTTCTAGCGGAACATCGTTTTTTAAGAGAACTTACAGAGCAACAAATTTTTTTCTTTGGCAACTTTTTAGCAACAAATGAGCAACAAATAAATATATTAATTAGAATCGATTCTGCTCACTTTGTTCCGCTAACTTATAAGACGTATCTTTCGCGGCGTACGTACCACGGAACGTACAGCGGCAGATCTTCCGAAATTGATCGTGCTTCGCGCAACGCGCATACTCTCATTACGCGGCCAGCGGAGTACATAACAATAAATGGACCTTTCCCGACGACGGGAAGGAGGCGAAAACGCGCTTTTCGGCGCAAGGAGCACGCGCTTCCGATGCCCCATGCCATCCTTCGGGATTATCCGCTCTTTTTTACCTTTTTCACACATCTCGAACAAAAACCAACGTTGACCAAATCCTCGATATTTGCGTTATTGTTCAAGTAATAAATAGCAGTAAATAATAAAAGTGATAGATCAGTATGTAATAAAAATACTTAATAATTATCATACGTAGTAGTTTAATGTTATAAATTTTAAGAGTTGTGGATATGAGGAATAAGGATACCTGCGTTTATCTTAATTCCTTTTTGAACGTTTTACTCTAAACGAAAATAATGTTTATTCAGACGTATATTAGTTGCCACCCATCATCTGGTGTAGTAAACATGTCACTTGAATGGAACGAAAAAAAAAAGGACAGGTGTAAAAAGCGTAGCCGGAAGAAACCTGTCCTCGGTCGCAAATCGGTGTCGGATATATCGGCGATGTTGCGATAGCTCGCGCAATTTTTTCGTCATGGAATTTCGGCGGTGAACCGTCGCTGAAACGGTGAAACGACGACGTATATCGACGTGCCGTTTTCGGAATGTCAACGCGGGGGCTCTCACGATTATGGAACGACCCGAACGCGACGGCGACGGGGGCCGTGCGCGGATTTAACAAAATAACACGTAGGACCATAAACCGCCGGAGCATCACGAAAAGCATTTCGCGAGCGTGATGTCGGGTCTCCGTGCGCGAGATCGAGAGAGAGAGAGAGAGAGAGAGAGAGAGAGAGAGAGAGATCGGGTCTCGGCGGCCCCCAAGAGAGAGAGATTATCGGAGATATTCGGACATCGAGGCTCTCGTACGGACAGCCTCTTCGCTCGAGAGGAGCGACCACCGCACCGCGTTACGTACACACACAAGAAGACACACATACACACATACATACACATGCGCGCGCGCGCGGATGCTGTAATTCGGCGAATTCAATTTTGGAGCCGCTGTAAATACGGCGGATCTATGGGTCGCGCGTGGGGGATTCGAATTTCGTTTGCTCCCATTATTCGCGACGTTCGAAAATTGCAGGTGTACATCGCCGGACCGGAGGCGCACCGAGCTCTCTCGCTCGTCCCATGTGAAAAAAAAGCGCCAGAGGGAAACGGCCAACTGCACATTTCGCGACGTGTTTTGATACGGACACCAGCGTACGAGTTTTGATTATCGCGAGTGACATATTTACAGCGGACGGTGTAACGTCGAACTCGCCGGACTACCCTCCTGCTTTCCGCGTCGCGCGTGTAGGTACACATCTGTCGCACGCACACATACGCGCCCACGCACGCCAATATACGCAACGCACAGGGTATACGCGATCGCTTGAAAATTTGATTTTGCACTCACTCACCGATCGCCTCGCAAGTCGACGAGCCCGCCGTCCTCCTCGTTGTCGTCGTCGTCGTCGGTGGCACGGGAGCGAGGGCGTCGAGGGGGTGGCAAGGTCCGAAAACGCGTCTAGGGGAGACGACGCCGCGCCTGATAAATCCACCGTCCGTGGCCGACGAGGGATCCGAGCGCCGGCAGCGGCGGCAGCGCGACAACGCACACTCGACAACGGGCCGCACACATAGAGCTCTCGTACTACTCGTACAACACTTGGCCGCTGGCACTTGTGATCCGCACGCACTATTCACCGGGAAACCATGCAGAAGCGCTCGGGGGATAGCCGCGAGCAGCGCGAGCGCGACCGACCGCGGGGCGACGATTCACAACTGATGACGATTCGCGCGAGATCGACGAGCGAATCCCGAATCCCGGGCTCTTTTCCTTTTCGTTCGTTCGTTCGTTTACTCGCACTCGCGCGCGTCGATGCGAGCGCGATTTATTAACCGCCGGAGCGAGAGGGACACGGCGAAGACGTTGAGACGCGCCGGGCCGGGCCACCTACCACTCCGCGAGCCGCACAGTGGCCATTACCCTCGTCGTCATCGACGAGCGGAGAATGCGTGTTTTGTTATCTTTCTCCCCTTTTAATTCTCTCTCTTTCTCTCCTCTCCTCCGGAGGCGACGACGACGCGTCTTACCGCTGCGAAGTCGTGGTGGCGACTGCTCTCGGGAGACTGGCGGCGCAGCCCGATCGACCAATGGCGTGCCGGCTTTTACCGAGCGCCATCTTGCCCCTACCCGAGCACAAAGAGGCTGGCGACCGAGCGCCGCCGAGCGGCCGCGTAAACGCACGATCGGTCTCTCCGCTCCATCCCCTGCGTCACTACCGCCACCCTCACCGCCCCCCCCGTCCTACTGCCGCGCCGTCCCGTCGCCCCGCTACTCGCTACCACTACTATCACCCTAGCGGCGGTGGATCGACGCGCGTTTTGCGGCTTCGCTCCTTCGGTGTTCCTAACTTTCGATATAGGGGTTTTATGGCGGGATTAAGCGCGGGAGACGGCCGCGGCCGGCTCTCTCCGGCCGTTTGTATTTCGAGAATTGCGCTCCGTATAGACAGCGATTCGCGACCGGCGCGCGGCGTGTCGTTGCCGAACGATTGCCCCGAATGATGACTGTTTTACGAAAAGGGGAGCGTCCGATAAATCTTTATTGCGCTTTCATTCATGCGCGACTTCGTGCCGCCCTAAACATCGCGATATGATGAGGGGGACACGATTTTGCTTATCGACAAATCGCCTCTGAATACGGCATTACGGACAATAATACATTTCTTATCGAACCGTACGATATACTTAACTGCTATAATTTAAATTTTGGATTCATGTCACGCGTCTAATGAAAAGTATGCTACACGGTTGTAGTGTCAAATTATACTGAATTTGAATCATTTTTAACTATTCTTATATAGGTATCGCCATTGTTCTCATTCAATGAATCGTTAATTTAACTAAACCAATAGAGTTAAAATAATACTGTTTTAATTGTGTTAAAATAATAAATTTCGGCACACGCGGTAGTTACAAATAACAAAATGTTACTCAAGATATTGATTTAAAAATTTCATCCTTTAATATTTAACAATGCAGCGGCATTAACTGAAACAATATTAATTTAATGAAACTAATGGTGTTAAAACAATACAGTTTTGTGTTGAAATAATAAATTTCGACGCACATGCTAGTTAAAAATAACAAAATGTTATTTAACACAAAATATTGGTTTAAATTTCAATTTTCATTTAGTGTTTAACAATGCAAGCGATATTTTCAGCTCATTTTCGCGTGCCCGTCGCATCGGAATTTTTCTCCCTACACCGGGACTGTACCGGTTCCGAATCTCGGCGCAGCCTCGATTACGATCGACCAAAAACGACCCTGATCGCGAAGACCTGCGATAACCGACACGTTCCGCGCGATCGCCCGTTACCCTAATCGGCACTCCCGACGGAAATTTGCGCTCGTTATGCGTGTTTAACGGGTAAAATTCGGAATTACTTGCGGAGCGATCGCGCTTCGTGTTTCCGAGTCGACGCACTCCCGAGCTGTCCATGGCGGTCGGGTCGGGCGCGCGACGCTTCGATAAAATTCGAATAAAATAGTTCGAATATATTGCGGATGATTAGCATTCGCGATGAAAATTGATCGCTTTCTAACACGCTACCTAACAAGCTGCGATGATTAACGATGTTGAACTGCGTAAATAAAATGCATTGCGATAAGTAAAAATCTATTCACGAAAAATATCGTCCTCGATAAAGTTTCAAATTGCGTGTAATGGACTCGTCCAAATGATGAGTTTGTGCAAAACGAGCGACGTGGACTCGTCCGCGTATTAATCTGTAAAAAATTCATTGTATGAAATAATAACGATCGCAATGTTTTGACTTTTTTATTCGTGTTTCACGTTGGCGCATATGTTACAATGGATTTAGCCAAATAATTGATATCTGTTGAAAATCAGTAATAATAGAATCGTCGATGTAATTAATTTATAGAGAATCTACCGTACGAGTAATATCTCGAGTAATATATTACTGTTGCGTTTTACCCACGCGATGTACTATATTCCGTAGCGAATTTTCTATGCAGATACTACACTTATAGAGTTTCGCTGTTGCAGAGGTTTCCAAATCAAATTACGCACAAAATGTCCCAAAATACCGAAATATCTTGTGACAATCGAGCGTCATGATATGTATCGCGTTAACGTGGATATTATTCTTCTACGAAAGTACGTTTTAGTTTTTGCGAGGTGTTTACGGTTTCCTGAGCCGCGGTAAATTGGCGGAAAGCAGAGAATCGGAAAAGTAGAGAACCGAAAACAAAAGAACTGAAAAGTAAAGAAAAATAGCATTATTCTACATGACTTTAAAGTCAGATATTATATAGGGGAGCAGGACGTATATAGTGTTACATGTTTAATATTTCAAATGGATGAAACTAAAAACGTGTATTTGATTTCTCGGCTTCGATCTTTCGGACTTCTTACATCTGAGTAAAATAGAACTTCTTATCTGCAAAACGTCAGAAACATTACTGTATTTTTTCGCATAAAATTCCGTTCTTTCGGAAACATATAATGTCGTCTATAGAAGCACCCCGTTTGTGACGATAATCGAATTGACAGCTCGTGCATTTGACAAGTGTTACATTTTATTAAGTAGAAATAGTAGCAGAGATCTGCTGAATACTGTTTCTTTATTATTGTGCGCTGCAACGAACGCTGGGCGATTTCCCGGAATGAGACAACTTTGCTGATTCTCCGAATTTCTCAGCTTCGAGCGCCTCGCTGTTTTTTGTTGTTGTTTTTTTTTGGTGCTGTTTTGCTTAGCGCTTTAAATTCTAGGAATCTTAAAATGTATCCCGAGCGTTACAGTGTGTCGACCAATTGTGTTTCGACCGACTTTTATCTCTCTTGAGAAAAAGTCGTCACCTATCGCTAATGAATCTGCAAAAGCGCGAAATAAGATAAAACCTGATTAACGCTAGGTTTCACTCGTAATTTTGTTTGTCGGATGTTAACAGTAACGAAATAAATAGAAATCTTGCTTCTTTAACTTTATATTATTCAGCTTTATCTACTGTTTCATAGTGTAATGCAATATGATTTCGATGATTCGATACTGATATATATATTTACACGCGGTTATTAACTACTATAGACACAGATAACGGTTTCACAAATTGCTATGTCTGTCTTTTTTATTTTCTTTATCCTCTAATCGAAAAAATCTGCGCCTTCTTCCTACTATAACTTTCATTTATAATAATAGTGTTTTTTCTTAATTTTGGTGCGAATAATCACAGCGATTTGACAGGCTGAGTCATGTCGGTGAAGGGAAAGGAAGTAAGACATGCTAATTAAGAAATTTATAACACCGGACGTACAACAACTGATGAGTCACAAAAGATCCTTGGAGATGTTTTTTGTTTCGTAGATAATCCCTAAAGATTTATTGCCGTATAAATCGAAGGTGTCGACGATGCGCGTTTCTTAACATCTTTGCTAAAAAAGAGTCATTTTTAAATTGACCGTGTAGAGACCGTGTAATTATAAAGGCATCCAAGCGATTCTACGGTATTTTATATATTCTAACAATAAACTCCCCTCTCTGCTTGTCTCTTTTATAAATTTGCTGCATATTGAAATAATGGATCCTCAAATTCGTGGTCACATGCTGCGAATCTCGTAATCCCAATATCTCGATAATCCAATAATATATCTCCGTATATTAATTAGTATCGAATTATCGAGATCGCATTGTATTGACACGGTCCGTTTTATAATCCCCCATAAATCTGTTTTCGTGAGATTTTTGTCATAAATGTAACATGGCGGAAATTAAAGACAACAAAGGACGCGCGTTACTACATAAAATTTATTCAAATTTAAATGTGTGTGTATATGAGACAGTTGCTTCCCTCCCTCTCCTTCGCTCTCTTTCTCTTTCTCGTTCTGTTCCTCTGTCTGTTCGTTTCTCTCTCTTTATTCTTCTTTCTGTCTATCCTTCGTTATCCTCCATTTTCCAGTTCATAGGGGATCAAATTTTCCATATCCCAGCTTTTCCGCATTTGTATAGATATAGATGATCCCACTACGGTTATACATCAAATTTCAATGTTTTATTTTCACAGTCAATATGTAAAAATAAATGAATATTGTATATTTATCGAACAATTATTAATATTGATGGCTTTGTCGTAATATTAAGCCATCTATTTTATTCGACGTTAATTCATGACTTTTACTGGACGATCAACGTGATTGAGACATTTTTTGTTTTTAGGCAACTTCCATAAACCATATTTATCTCCATATAGATCAACACGATGAAAATGATTATTATCGACTGTATCATCAATATATGCGTTAATAAAATTATTAGAAGATTGTTTTTTCCCACTTTTATTTTTAACGCTATGTATTTTTAATTAATAATTGACTGGCTTTGAATTAGCACAATTCTCTTTATTCCGAATTAACATTCTCATTTAAAAAGTAGACAAAGAAAAATCCAGTTAGATATATCAGTATATTGTCTGCGTATAATGACGAAATTTGATAATTGAAAATAATTGCTTACTTATTCAAAGATATGTCCTCGTATGACGTGAATATTAATATCAGCAAATAAAAGAGAGCTTACTTATAATGCCATAAAAATTGCGATAATATGCTACTTACTTTATCAGGAACAGAGCGAAATTAATCTAACATTATTAGAGCAATAAAAAGTAAAACACATTAATTAATATCATTTACACAATATACGGCCGCCATGAAATTCATGCATACATATGTTATTTCTATCAGGTTTATTTATTGAATTTTACAATAAGATTTAATGGTTTCTTGTATGAAAATGAAAATATTATAAATATAATTAACAAATTGCAACATATATATTACAATAATTGAAGATCAAAAGACAAAAGGATAAAGAGAATTTTAAATGTTATAATTTATATTTAAGAGTTAATATAGGTTAGAATTAGGTCAATATTGGTATAACTAGCTCCTACTCCGTACACTTTAGAATTACTCTGAATTATTGAGCGTTTAGAATTGATCGGTTTGAATTAACGGCGGTATAATTACAAGCGTCAACAATAGCGTCAATGGTTGTGATGCAACAATAGTAATATTACTCTTATATATTTATTAATGTATTGGTTTTTCGTAAACGTTAAAACCACGCGTACAACAATTCCAATAACGTTGATCTCAAACAGAACTTTCAGAGGGATGGGAGAAATGAATCGTTTCGTTAGAATTTAAGGAACTTTTATTGAAATGTCAGCTGTTTAATTGTCAACAATGTCAAATCCGTGCTTCGCAAATTTGAAAACATAGAGATTCATGTAAGATATAATATGGTTTAGTTTAAACGCGAATTGGAAAGCATTCCAAAAATTTCGTGTAATATTTGTTGAATGTCGCGGTGGATTCCAATATCACACGGAATTTTCAATTCCGCCTCAATCTTCTCATATTGGCTTAACCTGAAACTGCGGTTGCACGATTGTGAATCATAATTCACATGCGATATGAATGTGTCATGTGCAAGTTTATTATTACATATTGTTTTGACATAATCAATTAATTAGATATTAAGCTAATTACATACAGCGTTAAACGTTTGTTTTTTTTTATACCGAGTTCTACATTTTATAATTTGTTTATTTTTAGTTCTTTTTCTTCCCCCCCCCCCCCCATCGCCGTTTCCTCTTTTTTTCATATATGTATTTCTGTAATTACATCAGTAACGTTTATCAATTTATTTTTATCCATCTGTAATTATCTCCCTCCATCTTTATCTGTAAATTGATTATAATTTTATTCCATAATTGTAAAGAAACGCGCGTAAAAGCACGTTTATTCGTACGTCAAAAGATGTGTTTAAAAAACATTTGAAAAGCACAGCTAGCGTCATCTGCAGATGAAATCCCGACGCAGTCGGTAAAATCAGGAATAAATTATCGTCTGCTATTTTCCCCTCACGTGCTGTTCGCGCGGTGCGGTGGACAGGTGGTAGACTTTGAGGTTATGTTTTGCACGTCGAACAATATTATAAATCAACCACGACGTATATCGTGTCTGATTGTTAGTCATTTATGATCACAGACGAGTCGGATTGTCGAAAAGTTCATTTGTGTTTAGATTCGGGCATTGTGGGGTTTTTTTTGTGGAAATATGCAACAAACAGGGAACGAAGTCGGTGAAAAGAGGAGAGCTTGGACGGAGGAGGAGCGTTTGGAGCTTGCCGCGAAATTGGACGCCGAACTGGACGAGTATATAAATGGCCTGGAGAAGAAGAGTTACGCGGAAGGATGGCCGGAGGACAGGTGGCAAGAAGAGATGGAGAAGCATCCCTTCTTCATGAAGAAGGTGCCGGAACCCGGCGACGAACTGTCCCCCCTGATGGAAGGGCTGCAACAGCTCAAGTACGGAGAGGATGAGAATACTCCCGAAGGTGCGTTCTTCCTCGATACATGCAGACTTACTTGTTATACTTTGTCCTGCAAAGCGCACGTTGCTTCCCCGTCATGAAAAATATTCATGCGCATTACTTTCAATACAGAATTGGCAAGTAATTACAAGGAGGATGGAAACTTCAATTATAAGTATAAAAAGTATCGCCTAGCTATTCTTAGTTACACAGAAGGGATAAGAACGAATTGCAAAGATGACGATTTGATGGCTCAACTTTATAATAACAGAGCTGCATCACATTTCATGTTGCAAAATTACAGGTAGGACGTGCCTTCTGATGTTACATGATCGATGCTAATGATAGAGCTTACAGTTTAATGTAATAAAAATTACAGATCATGCTTGAATGACTGTAAATTGGCCTTGAAGTTTAAACCGCGATATCCGAAGGCTTTGAGTCGAGCTGCCACTTGTAGTTTTCACATTAGAGATTATGACCAATGCATCGACTTGTGTGACCAGTTCCTTGATCATAGTCCAACCGATAAAACGATATTGAAATTAAAATCTGATGCTGTAATCGCAAGAGTAAGCCACATTGATAAATATTAATATAAAAGTTAAGTTATGAAAGCAGAAGTTTCCATTCTTAATGCTATTTGTTACTTTGCTCTCGAAGGGGCGTTTACAACGAGACAAGAGAAAGCAGGAAAGAGAAGAGAAAAAATTGGACAAGGAGGATGAGAAATTGTTAGAAACAATTTCTCGGAAAGGTATTAGTTTAGAATTGACAAATGATAAGCAAAAGCTAGAATTGAGAGATCTAGAGCCTCAAGTACCACAAATAGCGCAAAGCAGAGTGCACTTTGACGATAAGGACAAGCTCGTGTGGCCAGTGATGATTTTATATCCAGAGACTCAACAAACTGATTTCATACAAAATTTTCACGAAGATACATTGTATGTTTTTTTTCTATTAAACTATACGATATACGATATAATATATCATATAATTATATTATTAATATATATTTTTAATCGTTCCTAGATTAATCGAACAATTAATCGAACTGTTCGAGGAACCTCCCGAGTGGGATATAAAACATCGTTATACTGTAGAAAATATAAATGTATATTTTGAAGGAAAGAACAAATGTTCCGTTCACAAAGTAGACATCCAACTCACGTTGGGCGACATATTGCGAGATAAACAGTGAGCATTTATCGGCTAGATGTTTTATAAATAAAGCATAAGCCGAGGCTTATTTTTAATATCAAAATTAATCTTTCAGGTTTATAGTTCGCGGTGGTACACCAGCTTTCCTGATACTCGTAAAATCCAGTGAAGCTGAGAAACATTTCTTAGCAAATTATTAAGTCTGTATTATTATGTGTATATTGTATATACTGCGGACATTTGTTAATTGACAATGAAATTTTCATTAATGAGGTATGTATTTTATATATCTTTGTTTAATAAATATATTTTTTATGATAAATATATACAATATACATATATAGAGCCGCCCTCTTACAAACGTATATTTTACAATTTTTACATCGTTGAAATTTGAAGCGAATATCAAGCAGACCACGTTCATATGTAGTTGCCTAAAAATTATGGGTCGAAAGAAAAAAAGTAGCTTCCCCAAAAAATATTACCCAACACGAAGACCCGGAAAGGCTTTCTTCCGTGTGAAATGTAAACGCATGAGCGAAAACACGGTTAAAAATTCGTCATCATCCCTCGGTCACGTAAAAAAGTAGAAATACCAATATGCTTCTTAGATCGCTTCGCGATAAAAAAAAACCATCTGTCTGGTAAAAGACCGGCGAGCTCTCCTTTGGCTCGAAACGCCCGCACGCGCGTTCGTGTACGCGGTTAAAAATTCGTGGCGGTCGTTCCCTTTTGTACAAAAGAATAGCAGTACCATTGCATTCTCTCCTTGAGACGCTTCACGAGAAGAAAAAGTATCTTGTTACGAGCCGAGGCCCGGAAGAGCGCCGTTCAGTCCGGAACACCCGCGTGTGCGAGCAAAAACGCGGTTAAAAATTCGTTGCGGTTATCCTTGCGGTTTTTTTTGCAGAAAATAAGAAAATAGCTTTCCCCAGAAGTCGGGGACCAGAAGAAGGTATAGTTTCTTGAATATCGTGGATCGACAATGAACAGTTTCTAAAAGTCATGGTCGGAGGGAAAAAAATGTCTTCCTTCAGAGAAAACCTTCATCGAACGAAAGGGCTGGTGAAAGACTGTCTACTTCAATGTTGTGACCGCCACGAATCTTTAACCACTTTTTTGCTTCATATATATTATCTCGAACTCGGTCCATCGTTTGAGAAAAAATGGATTTTGTTTTCGTCCTTTTTTTACGATTAATGCGGCCCAAGAGGGACGTGAATACGCAAGTTTTATAAAAATCGGTAAGTAAAAAAAGGGATTCAATGGTGCTTGTTAATTTTTTTCATTATTTATTAAAATTTGTTTCCTCGATAATAGATCGCTTCAGCAAAAGGAGAAAGAGTGCGCTTTCTTCTTTTTATCTCCGCGATTTGCTCTCGCGATCGTTGCCCGGAACGCAGCAGGATCGGTAAGCGGCATGGCAGGGGGTCGTCGATCGGAAGGTGGTGCCACCTGCAGCACCTGTCCGCGCCAGGTGAGAATAAAGAGAAGGAGCCGCAGTAGCCTGAAATTCAGTTGTGCCGTGCGGACGCCGTGGGACACGTGTGTACGTTGTCTCGATTCCGGTCGCCGCGGAAATTACGTTGAACTCGCGGCCGGTTCGGTGCGCGGAGACGCTGACGGTGGCGCAGCTCGTGGGATCCTACGAAGAAGGCACGAAGGAAGGTCGGCGCGTCGCAAGGGTTCCATTCAGGACCTTCCAGTCTCGCCAGGAAGGAAAGAGAGAGAAACAGCGAAACGCGGCAAACGGAGGGACGTCCACGGCCGTCGCGGAGCAGCGGAACGGGACGAGCAAACGATGCCGAAGCGATGCTGGTAAAATTCCTCACGTTACTCCGGCGCGTAACCCTTTTTCAATGCGACCGGCTTTGTTTCGTCGGTGCGCGGCGCTGGCCCGTCGCGTCGCACCTGCGCCTAAGCGAGTCCTGACCGACGGATCGACGACGTTTGCCGTGAAACAACTTGAGGGAAAAGTCGCTTTGTCCTTTTAACGGAGAGGCGAAACTAATACTTTGCGTTTCGTAAGCTCTCCAATTCTTTGGCTCGTTTGCGTTCCACAAATTGAGTTCCATCGACGTTTTATATTAATTTTTTTTTACTTATAACTCTTGATTGATTTATTTTAAATTGTTGAAAATATTCGTTATATTATGTAGTTAAATAGAAGTGATACATTAGATTAGATTATTAAGGGGTCACTATTGACTTTTTTCTGCAATTTATAGTATATATGAAAGAAAGTCTTTTTTATATTGTATTTGCATATTTAAATGCAGCTCGTCTTCTACATCTTAGTCTCCCAATCTGAAGATGCGTTAAAAAAGTGATGCTCTGGGACGCTTTCAAACTTTCTCGAGCCTTTGCGTAGGCATTTTTAGTGACTGATCGTTTGGAAAGTGTATCTTGTCTTGAAACATATCGCAGATGTAATTCAATTAAAAATTTTAAACGTGAAGCGCAATTAAGCAATTAGTAGATTCACGTTAGATAACTTTAATTAACAATTTTCTTATTAGATAACGAATTTAACTCACGAGAACATTCCGTTAATATTGAGATGTGTTAATGTGATTTATATTTGCTTTACGCCTATAGATATAAAATTCCGTGTCATATATATGACACGGAATTTTATATTTCGATCGCTATTTAACTTCTTAAAGTCTTAAACGTATAACATGCGGTAAATCAAACTGATTTGCCGCAATTTCAAAAATCCGATATCAAATTCCGATTTCGCGCGCCGTTCCTGAATTCGCAATTTGTGTCAGAGTGGCCGTTGTCTCATCTTTATTTCGAAATAAAGCGAGGAATGCGTAATGATAATGAGCCGATCTGCGCGGAATCGTGGTGTCGCGCACAATGCCATTAGTACACGACAATGGAGCTATGTCGGGCATTAAATTATTCATGGGATAGCTGTTGCATCG